CCTTCAAGATTGGAAGTCTGATAGCTTCATGGTTGGTGGCTGCTGGTAAAATCGATAAGTCGTGCGGGGAGGATTGGATTCATAATCTCAGAAGGGCTCTCCTTCCCAGAAGTATCTTGTAGCCGTTCTTCTTCTTCTTGTTCCCACTGTGCAGCATCTCTTGTCCTCGGTGCTGCTCTGGCGTTCCCTTGCACTTACTTTCTCATGCTTCTTCAGCTGCCACCATGGTGCTTGCTTTGCTGAAGTGTTTTGGCTTGTTTGGGTTTTCTGAAGCTTTGTCTTGTGCTTCGCTTTCAACTGTTGGTTCCTTTTTTTCCTGTCTTTTCCCTGGTTTTTGTTAACTCTAAACTCTTTTCTTAATTAATGAATTTCACCTTTATAAAAAAAAAGATCTCCAATAATTGCTGTGGTTAGGAGTTTGTCTATTGTGCAGTGAGTTTGCTGTCAGCTGGTTGTAGATTTTTCAAAGGATGCTATTGCAGTTTAAATTGTGATTATGCATGTACTTAGAGGATTTATATGCCCTCTAATTAGTGTAATTTGATAGCCAAAATTATCGATGCCAGTTACTTTTTATAGGATGATGCCTCAGTTCATGTATTTCAACTATCAGCATATTTTAGCATGCTTTAGCAACCTCTGCCAGGAATATTAAATAGGAATTAGTGGGTCTTTCCTTTGTGATTTGATAGAATTTTATTATAGTGTGGTTTAGGTGATTAAGTGTTTAGTTGACATGTTTGCAATGTGGTTAAATGTTTTCAGAGGTGTGATTCCCGTTCCAATACACATTAGCATATTGCCTGAAGGTTCAATGAAATGCAATAGCTGATCCATGCTAATCAAACATTCTCTTCTTTGATTTATAAGCCTTAAAAGACCAATCTTGCAATGTCTTTTTTACTACTTGGTTCTTTTGCTCATTTGTAGCACTGCTTGGATTGAGTTCTTTGTCTTTTCTTATTTCATGGCCTAATTTTGCAGTATGGAATCTGTGATTTCGTGGTCACCTTTTCTATTTCTCTGTTTTGTCCTTTCTAGCAATTTATTGTTTCCTTCTGATTACATTGCCCTTTGTTCTGTTCAATATCTCTGTTACAGATTCAGTCGGGTTGATGACGATGACGTATATCTTTGTAATTTGCTAGCTGAAATTGGTTGATGGCCACACTTTCCATTGTGAAAAAACAGTGAGCTTCAATATTATTTATAGACTTTTTCCTTTGGAGTTGGATGCCACTTATGATTCTTTAGAGTGTCCTCTTTCTTTCACTATGGATAGTGACCAGGTTCAGTTCTGAATTTTAGAGCTCATCTCTATCTGTTGCTAATTCAAGATACAATTCTTAATGCGCCAAAGCAAGACCTTCTTTGTTTGAGACACATATTGGTGTTCGGTTGCCTTTGATTCTTTACTATTTTTCATGCCCTTCAAGTTTCCAGGGCAGAAAATGTTTATTTGGATAACATCTACGATGCTTATTGTACCGCCGCTTTTCCCTCAGCTTTAAATTGCTTCTGGAATTAATCCCAGATTCATGAAATTGCAATTCAGGGTTAATAACATCAAGTGTAAGTTGTTCCTTCCATTGATGTCTATGCGTTTTGGTCATTTGACCTTCTTTGTCATCTATAGAGCCCTGATTTTCATTGTCTTACTATGTTGTGCATGATTATAATTTCAGTATAGAGAATGAGATGCTTTAGATTATGTGAGGACTCTTTTATAAGTTTCGGTTTATAAATCAAAATCTATACACAAGACTCATCTGATTCCGCTAGCCGCTCAATGGTGCGAATGTAGAGTGAATAAGGGCAAGAGGAATTGAAATAATTAGCAAGATCTTTATTAATTACACTCACAGTTCGCTACAGGGGATTGTGATTAGAGATCCACGGCTGCCGACTCAATTGAAGAAAAACCAAGTTTCAGTGGCGTTTCAGTACACTTTGCGGAAGATTGCCAGAGCGGAACCAATTGAAGCACCAAACCACAATCTCCATTTCGCCTCCGAGCGTATCCATGGCTAACAAAACTGGAAAGATAGATTATATGTATCTCCTAATAGCATATGTTCCCTTCCTCAGATTGCTTTATTTTTACCAATCATCCTGGCACTGACAAACTATCCAATCTCCTTTATTATTTGATATTGCTTTAAGTGCCATCTCATCCAACAAACTGCTCCTTCAGTTTGCTATCCACTTTTGAAATTAGTATTCATATTTTTTTATGTTGTCTTCACTACGTGGCTGCCGCTAAAGGTAAAATGATTCGCCATTGTTCGAATTGCCTTAACATTATATCAACTGATATTATTTTTCGCTTTATGCAAAGTGAGCGAATCTTTGCTAGTATGACATTAATTAGGCATTGAGACGACACTAGAAAGCAAAAGACCCCTAATAATGCGAAATGGGAAATTAACAGTAAGACTGTTTTGTAATAGCCAATGTCTCACTGACATGTGGCAAAACACTGTTATTCGTTTTAAACAGAGGTATATATACAACCTCCTGCAGCCCTTCTTCTCTAAGGGTACTGCATTTCTGAAACCCTCACACAAAGTTCTCCCAAGTCTTCACATAAACAATCAATTCACTCCCCACAACTACATGCCCGATGTAAATAGGAAAGCAATAAGGATAGTTGGGGCCGGTAACACCGGTATCCCACATCAAGGATGGCGGGCTGAGGGTTTTTATGGTGAGATCCTCGAGGTTCAAGACCTCGCAAGGCGCAGGGCGTTGGGGCTCCGTAGCTCCGATCAATAGGGGGATATAACTACTCGACAAGATGAAAATCTTATCCTTCTCGTAAGGAACGTGAATCGGACTGACCTTGGGTCCCTCCATCGCATCTTCCCTTTTTCTGGATTGAAAGGGTTGTGTTTGGATTTCAGGATCCGCTCCCAGATCGCACACGTAGACATCCCTTGGATATTTCCAGTAGGACTTGCCAGTCTTCTGATCAAAATTGGAGTCACGGTCAGGGGAGACATTAAGCTCGAGACCACCAAATGTATATAGTGTTGATTCCACAACTGCAAAACCCATACCTTCGGAGAATTGTCCACGGAAGTCGCTGCTAGCGGTGACGGTAACGGTGGCGGTGCGGAACGCCTGGCTGGTGTCGGTGTCATTGGCGGCCTTTTCGTCGCGACCCACCAGAACGATATTCACGCTGTCGTGGCAGGCAGCAACGATTCCACTATCCCACCACCGCTGTCGCTGCTTCTCTCTCCCCGGCGATGCTACTCCCAATACGATGGACATTGTTGGGTTTGTTTACCCTAACTCATCAAATAATCAGCAACGAGGGTAAATTCGTCTGCGTCTACTCCGCCTTGCTTTCTACCGATTGAAGGTTAACAGCTTGAGGGTTAAATAGAGGATTCCGTTGGCGCCTAGAAATATTATTATTATTCTTTCCTAGTCTTAGTAGGATTGGTATGTCTTTTGGTATTTGTTTAGGATTTTCCGATTTGGGTGTGGTGTCCTTGTAAGAGAAGGTTACATATTATGGGTAGGAATAGGGAAGAGTGGACTTAAACCATAAGGAAGGAGAGGATTCTATGCCTATAAATATTTAATGTCTCATCATTTAATGCTATGAAGAAGATTGGAACCCAAATCTAGTTTATTTTCTTTCATTTATGACAATTTACCGCGTTTTATCGTAGTTTTGTGGCAAATTCGGTTCGGTTGAAAGAACCTTGTTTTCTGAAATATCCATATTTCCCTTCCGAATTTCGAACCGAATAACATTATATCGGTTTGGTTCGAGTTTATCGAACCGATTGCCCACGCCTAGTACAAATACACCCGCAAATCGACCCACCCGTGCCATCCAATCCAACCCAACCCGAACTTCACGGTTTTATGAAGAAAGTGGGTGGGTTTGGTTCTTAAAACGTGAACCCAATAATGCATAGGTTGGATACGGGTTTGTGGCGTTGCAACCCGAGGAACCCATAACTTAGGTCACCCAATTCGTTGGGTTATAGCCTGTGTTCCCGCTCTAGATCACTAAAAGCACGAATTATGAACAATCCGCTAAAAATTCGCGAACTCTATGTTGGGCCTTGCCTCATCCTGACCCGCTGAACCAAGAAGCCCACTCTGTCACAAAGGCCCACCAGAAGTGCAGCGTTTCATCTGATCTCGTCAAGATCCCTAACGTCTTCGCCTCCATTCACCATCATCAAAACCGAAATAGTCAAATGCAGGAGCTCTACTGGACAATCGTGCATCAGCTCTCTTCCTTGATGTCTAACGGTAAAGAACATTGAAGAAGAAAGAGACAGAGGAATGAAGCTGCTTTGCCTATATAAAGAGCGCTTCTGTCAATAGAAAGAGTGACAGTTTCCTCGACTTAGTAAGAACAGGTTGGTTCTTTGGGAGTCTCTGGATTGGGTTCGGTGTTTGTGTCTGGATAGCTTGAGTTGGGACTTGCAGCCAGGAACTCAAGCTTATCTGGGCGTAGCTTCTGCTACTGCTTCCTTTCCCTTGAATTCGTGTCTTGTTTTGTTTTTGTTTTCGTTCCTAGAACCCAGAATTTGAGTCTATAGTGTTATCGAATTCTCTTCCCTGCTTAATCAAAGTACTTTCTCTTGATTCCATACAATCTCTGTCTCAATCCTTTAATTACTGTTAGTTGTGGAAATGGAATTGGCCACATAGCGTTTTAACAATTCATATCAGAGCCTCCTTTTCGAAAGAACCTTGTGTTGCCGAGAAGGAGATCCTCTGTCTTGCTATGTCATCGAATTCATTCCCCATTAGTTCAAATCCTCCCTAGTTTTCTGGTACTAATTACTCAGTATGAAAAAAAAGCCTTTTCCTCCGAGGAATTGACTGTGAACTATGGGCAATTGTCCGAAATGGACCAATTGACATGAAAGAAGACGATGAGGAGGATTGGTCAGATGAGCAAAAGAAAAATGATCAACTAGACTCTAGGGCTATGCACATATTAGTGTCTGCTATTTCGTTTTTTGATGAAGGTACTGTCTGCTATTTCTGAAGATGAAGGAGAAAGAGTAAACAAATGTGAAACTGCTAAAGAAATTTGGTCAATACTTGAAACAACACATGAAGGAACATCAGAAGTTAAGGAAACCAGAATAGACATGTTGCTAAAAGAATATGAAACTTATGATATGCTGCCTGGTGAATCCATTTCAGAAATGGATAAAAGATTCTCCACCTTAGTTAATCGACTTAAAGGATTAGGTAAAGACTTTACAAGCAAGGAGCTTGTTAGAAAGGTGCTTAGATCCCTTCCTCTTGAATGGATGGCTAAAAGAACTGTCATTGAGGAAGTTAAGGATCTCAATGTGTTGTCTCTTGAGAACCTAATTGGATCTCTTCTTAGTCATGAGGAAATTCTAAAATAAATGAACTCTCTTCAAGACAAGAAGAACAAATCTATTGCCTTTAAAACTGTAAGTACAGATGGAGAAGAGAGACTAGATGAGAAGTTTGAAAATGAGTTGGCTTTAACCAGAAAAAAACTCCAAAGAATGATGAAGTATAAACATGACCAGAACTCAAAAAGGGGAAGCTACAACCATAACTACTCTCCCAGATCTTCTCGAAATATGATCAACCACTTCCCTAGATCTTCAGGACCCTACTCTGGTGGATCAAATGACAAAAATTCATTTGGATCCAACAGATCATAATCCAGTCCTAAAGACAACAAGAATCCTAATGATAAATCTGACTCCACCATCTAATTTTCCTCTTAACAAAAAGAAAGAAAAAGCAATGTCTGCTTCCTGGAGTGAGTACAGCTCTGAAGAGGAATCTGATGTCGTGGCTTACATGGGCTTGAACTCAAGCTTGGAAGATGATCTTCCTGAAGATAAGGTATGGACTGAATCCTCTTCGGATGTATTGTTTGATTCTCATGATGATGACTTATTTCTTCATGCTCTGTCTAATCTCCAGAATGAATGTAATTTACTAAAAAGCAAATTCTGTTTAACTGTAACTCAATTACATGAAAAGGAAAACAGCACTCTGAAAGAACTTGTCAAAGTTCATCAAGCTGCCATAAACACTCAGGACACTCAAGTTGGCAATCTCACTGCAGAAAACTTAAATTTAAGAAGAAAAATTGACAACTGTCATAAGATTATCAACAAGAATGCCAGAATACTCAATCTTAATCACAAAACTAATGGTTTTGGACAGTACTATAGTACTCTGAACTTGAGACACCATGTTGATTATTGGAGATACTAGCCTTACTGCACCTTCTGCAGCAAATCTGGTCATGGAAATGAAAATTGTTATTTCAGGAAAAACAAAGCCAAACTTGTTTGGGTTTTTAAATCTTCTAACTAAGTTGTTTTTCATTTCAGATCAATAAAGGAGCAAATACCTGGTACTTAGACTCTGGATGCTCCCATCACATGACTGGTAATAAAGTCCTGTTTACATTTCTTAATCCTAAAAAGGGAGGTAAAGTTTTCTATGGTAATAATAACTGTGCTTCTGTTGTTGGTAAGGGTACTATTAGTAGTAATTCTTCTTTTATATTTGAAGATGTTCTTTATGTAGATGGATTAAAACACAATCTTCTCTCAATTAGTCAGATTTGTGGATCAACTTATCGTGTGATATTTGATCCATTCAGTTGCATTATAGAACGAATCTCTGATAATACATTGATCTTTAAGGGAAAGAAGATCAATAATGTTTATACTGTTGACCTATCCACCCTGGATCTCTATGAAAACATTTGCCTTAGTTCCATATCTGATTCTGCTGTTAGCCGGCATAGAAAATTAGGTTATATGAGTATGTCACGCCTGGCTAAACTATCTAAATTAAATTTGGTCAGAGGTCTGCCTCTCATCAAGCCCTCTGATAATTTCACATGTGAAGCCTGCATTCTAGGAAAGCATCACAAGAAATCATTCAAAAGTAAACAAAATGTTACAACTAAATCAACATTTGAACTGTTACACATGGATCTTTTTGGTCCCACTAATATTCAAAGTCTTGGTGGAAAATCATATGTTCTAGTTATTGTTGATGACTTCTCCAGGTTCACTTGGGTGCACTTTCTATCATCAAAGGATGAAGCCTTCTTAAAATTTAAGTCATTCATTATACTTATACAAAATCAATATAGAAGTCATGTTAAATCAATTAGAAATGATAATGGTGGTGAATTCATCAATTATGATTTTAGCAATTTCTGTGATGAGTTAGGGATTCTCCACACTCTATATGCTCCTAGAACTCCTCAACAAAATGGTGTTGTGGAAAGGAAAAATAGGTCTCTTATTGAAACAGCTAGAACCATGCTGTTAGAATTTGATTGTCCCAAGTATCTTTGGGGAGAGGCACTTAACACTGCCTGCTATGTCATAAATCGAACTACCATTAGTAAATCTGTTAACAGAACACCTTATGAGATCCTAAAATGAAAGACTCCTAAGCTTTCTTACCTACACCCATTTGGTTCAAAATGCTTTATACTAAACACAAAAGACTCTCTTGGAAAATTTGATGCTAGGTCTGATGTTGGCATTTTCCTAGGATATTCATCTAAAGGGCAAGCTTATAGAGTTTTTAACAAAAGATCTAGAAAGGTTGAAGAATCAGTGCACATTCGGTTTGACTCATCTCATCATTCCCTTCCTTTGTCTTCTGACATTAATAACTATGATTTCCTGCCTCTAAGATCTTCCTGTGAGACAGATAGTACAGAAAACAGTAAGAATGCTAATACTGTGAACCTAGACCATTCAGAAGCATCTTCAGTAGCTGACTCAGCTTCGCAAGATGGAACTCTCAGTGAGAATCAAAAGGCCACTGGCCACATCAGGAAGAGGCATCCTCCTTCACAGATCATAGGTAACCTATCTGATCCCATTCACACCAGAGGTAAGTACATCCCAGGTCAGTATGCTTTTGTTTCTCTATTTGAACCTAAAAACTTTAAAGAAGCAATCCTAGATGAAGAGTGGTTACTTGCCATGCAAGAGGAACTTTCACATTTCATCAGACTAAAAGTATGGGAACTAGTCCCTCGACCTGTTGGCATCACTGTCATAGGAACTAAGTGGATTTTTCGAAACAAGTCAGATGAACTAGGCTTTATTATTAAAAATAAAGCTTGTCTAGTCGCCCAAGGATATAATCAGGAGGAGGGCATAGATTATGATGATACCTTTGCCCCTGTTGCTCGCCTAGAATCAATTAGACTTCTGTGTGCCTATGCTAGTTACATGAACATAAAACTGTTTCAAATGGACATTAAAAGTGCATTTTTAAATGGAGAAATCAAGGAGGATGTATATGTTGAACAACCTCCTGGATTTACTGATAGTAAATTCCCTGATCATGTATTCAAACTATCAAAAGCTCTGTATGGACTTAAGCAAGCTCCCAAAGCTTGGTTTGAAAAACTGACTTCATTTTTAATCTCACAAGGCTTTTGTCAAGGGGGTGTTGATAAAACACTCTTTATTAAAAGACAGAATGAACACTCCTTGATTGTTCAAGTTTATGTGGATGATATTGTCTTTGGTAGCACTAATTCAAGTATGTGTGAGGAAATCTGCACTGCTATGCAAAATAAGTTTGAAATGAGCTTAATATGTTAACTTAACTTCTTTCTTGGTCTGCAAATCCATCAATCTGATCTAGGGATATTTATTCATCAAACTAAATGTCTTCAATCCATGCTATCCAAATTTGATCTGTTAAATGTCAAACCTATCAAAACTCCCATAGCCTCCAATACTCACTTAGATTATGACATAAATGGACTTCCAGTATGTGAGAAAAAGTATAGAGGCATGATAGGTTCCTTACTCTATCTTACAGCTAGCACACCTGACATCTAATTCAGTGTCTGCCTATGTGCCAGATTTCAACACCAATCAAAAGAAAGCCACTTAAAAGCTGTAAAAAGAATTTTCAGATACTTAAAAGGGTCAAGTGATCTTGTTGGATATTCTGACTCAGATTTTGCTGGAATCATTACTGACAGAAAAAGTACCAGTGGTACTTGTCAGTTTTTTGGTAGATCTCTTGTGTCCTGGTCAAGTAAAAAACAAGGCTCAGTAGCCTTATCCACTGCTGAGGCAGAATATGTTGCTGCAGGGAGTTGCTGTACTCAAATTATATGGTTAAAATCCCAACTAAATGACTATGGTGTTAATGTGAAACAAATACCTATTTTCTGTGATAACACAAGTGCAATATGTATGTCAAAAACCTTGTTTATCACAGTAGAACCAAACACAATGAAGTAAAACACCACTTCATTAGAGACTTAATACAGGCAGGTCATATTGAAATAAATTTCATCTCAAATGAATTTCAAATTGCTGACATCTTCACCAAAGCACTCTCGTCAGAACGATTCCTAAAACTGTGTGATGAACTTGGTCTTCATTCCCTTCACTCCATCCAAGACAGTCAATGAACCAGGTTCTTTTCTTCCTTTACTTATGCATTTACTATTACTAGCTTCTCGTGTGTTTTAATTACTTGTACTGTTAATTGATTGCTTGTTCATGCATGTGTTGTTTCGTTTCTCAATAATCCTTGTCTTCCCAATCTTCCTTGCATAACTCCTGGCATTCTGACTTGCTATATATTCTGTGTCCCTCTCCACTTCGATTCATACTCTCTTGTCATTACTAAAGCTCATTCATCATGACTGAGCTTTTCACTTCCTCCAACATTCCTGGTGCTATCGTCACCTACGTTGGTAGAACCTTCAATGAACCTGTGGACTTCAATCTGCATCGTTTCAAAGAGTTTTATGCATCTCGTTCCTTTTTTTATCCCATTTCACTCGATCTGTTTGAATTCAAGGCTCAGGGGATTGATATTACTCCTTTTATTCGAAATTTGGGATGGGAATTCCTCCTCCACTACCCTCCCCTTACTGCTTGCCCCCTTCCAGTTCGAACATTTTATGCCAACCTGGATTGTCAGGGCATCACCACTAGAAAACTCACCACTCTGGTCAATGGATACTTCATTTCCCTCACCTCTGAAGCCATTGGAACTCTTCTGAACCTTCCCACTAGAGGACCTCTTCCTCTTGCTCATGAAGACAAGTTTCTTTTTTATGATTTTGACCATGTGATTGAGTACTCTAGAATCACTCAGCGTACAGTGGGGGCACATGAAGTTATCACCTCAGCGGATCTGAACCCCTCTCTACACACTCTCCTCTACTTCATCACCCATCTTTTCTTACCTCGAAACCATGGACACCACATTGTCACCAAGATTGACCTCTGGATTCTGTCCAATGCCCTCACTGGTCGAAAAATCGATTACTCCCAGCTGCTGTTTGGTTCCTTGGTTCGAAGTGCTGATGCTCACCTTTGGGGGCGCCTTCCCTATGGTGGCTTCA